AAATGGACCATGCCGGGTCGGTTCAAGTATATACCAATTATAGTTATGGACTTAGACACTAATCCAACAAGTATCTCAAATCATCGTAAACGGTATATCCATATCAAAACACCTGTCAAATATATCAGAGTAAATATCCCAGGCTAAAAACATCATGTTGTGTACAATGCAGTCATCCCGAGCTCTTCCCTTTGCTACTAGAAGTACCTGAAACCAAAACTGAAAATTGTAAGCACGAAGCTTAGTGAGTCTCCCCAAACTACCACATACCATACACATAATCACATAATCACATATAAACATATCGTGGGCCCCACCCCTTCATCGGGCCCCGCCCGACATCAGACAATGTCCGACATCGGTATACATATAAACATATCCACAATACACATAAAATAATCACATAACATAAACACATAAACATTCTTCAGGCCCCACCCGGTATCGGACCGAAATCCGAAAGCATACAAACATTCCTCGGGCATTGCCCGACATCGGACCGTAATCTGGAAACATATAAATATAGACACATGAAAGAATCATGAAGACATCAATCATACAAACATTCCTCAGGCATCGCCCGACATCGGACCATAGTCCGGAAAGCATATAAACATTCATCGGGCACCGCCCGGTATCAGATCGATATCCGAAAACATATAATCATACATACGGGCCAGCATTGGTGCCTTCAACCCGTTCCTATAGGAGCAAACTCACCTTGCAAAGCTGAATCTCACGGATAATCCTCTGGCTGCTAGCTGGCAGATCCCCGAACTGCTGATCTCTCGACTCCCCGAGCTACTAATCATCATATAAACTAGTTAAGTTCGGGATTCTCATAACTTAATCATAAGTCCTTACTGGGGTAAAAGACCATTCTACCCCTCACATACTTTTGTCCCAAAATGAACTCTACTCAACCCTTGGCCCAAAAAGATAAACACTCCTACAAAGCCCAATATATGGCCCAATTTCTAATTGGGCCCAATCCCTAATGACGCACTAAGGCCCAAAATAGCAAAGTCCAAGGAATGGCCCAAACCGAGGCCCAAATGACGCAAATCCCAAATCCAGTGAGTACGCTGGGCGTAATCCTCTGTACGCTAAGCGTACAGGCTGCATGGCTTGTACGCTCAGCGTACTCCCCTGTTAAGCCATAATCTCAAAAAGAGCTTAACCCCTTAAGACCTAAAGCTCCAAACACAGATCTGAGTCCAATAAAGCGTCTTAACCCATAAAGTTGATTACTTGGTGGCTTGCAAACCCCCAAATGGACCCATACTTGAAATATGACAATCTACTTCCATAGAAATGACTAATACTCATGCATGACCACATCAAGACCTTCAAGATGGTAACTTTTCTGTCTTTGGGACTCAAATAGCACTAAGGGTGGCAACCCTAATCCTAGAAATGGATTTGGAACCATAAAGCTCCATTCTTGGGACCATAAAGGTCCAAAAGCTCAACATAATAGATATAATCATTCATGAGGCAAGTTTTGATCTTTTTACCTCAAATGACTGGATGAGTGCTAAATGATGATGATGTCTCAAATCCTTAAGCTCAAGCTACACAAATTCTTCTTCACCAACTTCCTCTTTCTCCTTCCAAGCTCCAAGCTACTAAAATGGACTTCACAAGATCAAAATCACACAAAGATGAAGAAGATTAGGTTTCTAGGGTTTCTGAGTTAAGGAGGCTGGGTATGGGGCATAATTAGGGTTTTGAGTCAGCTCGCGTACGCTGCGCATACCCCTTGGTATGCTGTGCGTACGTGCATCACCCCCCGCATCCAATGCTCCTACTACGCTCCGCGTACTCTAAACATACGCCCAGCGTACGGATTCAGCCAACCCAACTCAATAAAGGCCCAACTCATGATCCAATATTAATTCTCGTAGTCCAACAAATAAATTACAATATTTAATAATTTAGCATTACCTCAAGTCACGGATGTTACAACGCCAATGTGTGAGTGTTCTGTAAATCTTGCGTCAAGCGTTCGATCTACTTAGTAAAAGAATCGGCCTATTCTTTCAACAACAAGTGGATGGTGGTTTCGTCCATTAGCAATGAAAGCACCAATTGGTACAACCAACTAGGAACCTTCGAGTGAACACGAACTCCAAAATAGAGAAGAAGAGAAGAATTTGATAAATCCAATCTGCTGATTGGTGATTTCATTCATACTATAAATACTTGAAAAATAAGTTTATCAAATCCTGAAACAAAGCCTAAAAATACGAGAGTAATGCAAATCAACTAATGAAACCAAACAAAGTAAATGTTGTTTTAAATCCTAACCATCCTTATCATTTACCAATTCTTTAGGCTTTACCCATAACGTAATCTCGTTGCCAAGCCGGAACAACATATACTCTTCCTATATGTCTTGGCCCCTCCACTACCGGCTGCGTATCACCATCACTTATTAACATAGTCGTCAATTAGTCTTAAATAGTTTTTAACATCGTCGTCGATTTGGGACTCTCCCCCCTCTAATTAAACGACACAACTACCACCTCCAACCCACATCATACTTCCTCTCAGTAATACTACAATCTTTATTAGTTTCCAAGTGGAAAAGACAAGGAAAGCTAATAAAGAGTGGTTGATCACCCAACCATTTATCTTTGCAAAACTTTATCAACATACCATTTCCGTGTCTATGTTTTTAATTTTTTATCTATTAATTGTTTAACGAGTGTTTCTTTGATTTATCTGAGGGTGATCAACATTTTCTACTGCCCCTAGATCATACTTTTAGTGCACTACCATTTTTTCCATATGTTCTTTTGCATCTTTCATTTTTGTTGCTTAAGATCATGATTATGGGCTTTATTGTATCCTTTTACTTTTGATTGTGGGTTTATATACTCTTGAATCTGATTACGTGGTCATTATATCTTGACTTTGGTTTATGTGGTTTCATATACCATTTGATTGATTAAAATTTAACTACAGTTTATATTTGGAGTTTGAGATTTGATGATGTTATTAACTCTCATATTTTGATTGCATGCATATATTTTAGGCGTACGTGAAGACGTGTGGATCACCAGATGGACATCATATAGTAATGATTTGTGGTGACTCATAGCGAGTATAATAATGATTTGTAATGACTCACAACGAGTATTGTGATGTCTTGTAGTGACTTATTGAGAGTACTATGGTGACTCAAAGTGGGTATTGTGGTGACTCATATCGAGTATTGTGGTGACTTGTGGTTAGTTTTGATGATTAGTGGTGAGTTGAAGAGTTTAAACTTAAGGTGTTTGTGATGAGGAAATTGACTTGGGGTCAAAAAGCTTATTTGCATTGCATAGTAAGTCTTGCATTGTTATTTGACTTGCGATGTTTTTATGAGATTTGACATTAAGAAAATGTACTTTGATTTATGTTATGTTTCCCCAAGATGAGTTTTTATGATTTGTTTATTTTTTGATGAGGTATAGGTTAGTACACTTGGGTATAAATTTAATGTTCTTTCATATGCCATATATTTAATGTCTAACCCCATGATTGTACTCACTAGGCATCCCATGGCGTAACCCATTATGTTAATATAACTTTATAGGTTAAGTAGTGGATTATTGTTAGAAGTGAAGATTGAGAAGATTAAGGATTTTTAAAAGACTTTGGTTATTGTAATGATGAAATTGTTTCATTTTGAACCTTTGTTTTGATAGCTATTGTTACACCCTTATATGATCTTTTCCAAACTATTTTGGAAATTGATGTTTTGGAACGGTTTTATGCATGGTAACTCTTATTTTGAAACGTCTTATTAAAGGTTATATATAGACACACATATAATTATCATTAGACAAGTAAGAAAGATTTGAAATATATATAAGAAAATTAGGAGGTGTGATTTGTTAATTGCCAAACCTATCGGGAAAATCTGTGTAACTTGTAAGCAATTGTTCATCGACCATCACAATAAAAAATTGACAATCGCTCTTCATCGCAATATTAATTGTTAATACTTGATTGCACGCACAATTACATGATTAAATGTTTATGTTATTTATGTCTTGTTTTTGTTCATTTATTTTTGTTTGTTCGGTTATGTTCGTTTAATATCTTAATGAACAAACACAAACAATGTATTTTTTAAGCAAACAAACACAAACAATAAAATGTGTTTGTTTGTGTGTTTGTCTTCGTTTGTTAGTTTGGTTAAACTTAAACAAACAAATATGAACAAACATTGTGTGTATTCGTATGGTTCGTTTACAACCCTATATGGAAATATTTTTTTTATTTTTGAATACTAGTATTCTCTATGTCCTTTTTAGTGCCCGGTGGTTGAGTTGTGCTCGTTTATGGTCTATTTTCTCATGTTCCTACGTCTCACATGTTTCGTTGCTCGTGCTATGATCAATTGGAATATGTTGTTGAAATTCTACCCCAAGCTTCGTTGCATTAGTTTCTTTAATCATTTTTTTTGACATTAAAATGTGGTCATCCAATCTAAGTGTTATCGGAGAAGATGACTTGTGCCAGAAATAGGGTGATTTACTAGGTTGAGTTTCAAGGGTGAGGGTGGGGTGGGGTCTGGATTGTTTTCTAATTTTCAATTAGAAAAGTGTTAAAATAAATTTAAAAAATGTAAAAATTAAATTTTAAAAAGAAAAAACATCATAAATGGTCTCTGTGGTTTCTCAAAATCTAAAGTTTAGTCCCCGTGGTTTAAAACCGTCATAGATGGTCTCTGTGTTTTCAAAACTTTTGACGATTGGTCCTTATGCTAACACCGTTAACTTTTTTCCGTTAACTGAAGGACATTTTCATCATTTCACCACCACAAGCACGATGTTTTCACTTATTTAAAAAAATAAAATAATATACAAATGGGCCCCTCTCTCTCTCCTTATCAACAAGGTTGGTCTTCCCTCACTTGTACTGCTCTCCTTGTATGATACAAAGAGAATAAAACATCTGTCTTCTGTGGGTTTTAAGATTCACTCTTAAGTTATTTGATTTCAACTTTCATCAAACATCAACAAAAGAACAATAATTCTCCTTCTTCAATTTACAATTTGATTAGGGTTTTTCGTTTTCTGCTTCATCGATCCTTTCTTTCTCTCCCGAGCTCTTGTTCTATAGGGTTTTTCTTGAGCAAGAGTGATGGAAGATTACATGGGCCAAATGAGAGAGAACAATAGCAGCAATAATATGGGCACACCATCTACTAGACTACTACTCTCTTATACGGGTCGGGTGGAGGATCGGTTCTTTCCCCAGATACCACCAATACTTCTTTGTATGGGAGAGGAGGAGGCAGTACTATCGAAAGTGGAGGTACCCAGAAATTTTGTAATTACCCTTCTGTGATGAGCTTTCATAACGAAGATAAATCTCTTAAAGCTAAGATCATTTCCCACCCTCACTATACTAACCTTCTTCAAGCGTACATGGACTGTAAAAAGGTGACCTAAATTCATATAATTCTCGAACTCAGAATAATTACAGGTTATATACACAATATTACGAGGAATGACAATGGGCTAATTTACCTGATAGAAGTTGCAGAGAGATTCTTCAGGTTGGAAGATATGTTTGGGTTCGATAAGGCCAGCAATATTGCCGACTGGCTGCTCGTGAAATCAAAACCCGTTATTCAAGATCTACTCCCCCGGCAGTTAGACCGTACTTGCAATCTCATTGGTCTATCAAACAACGGATCTTCTGCATCAGAATGTGAAGTTATGTCTGGAATTGATGATCAATCCATGGAGAAAATTAAGGAAGATAGGGTGCTTATAGTAGGTAACGCAAAATCGACTTCCTCTAGCAGCAACAAAGATAAGAAAAAGCTTGATAGAGGAGTTAGGAAAAGTGTGTATATTCATCACTCTCTTGCTAAAGAAACTAGGGAACAAGCAAGAGCAGGGGTAAGGAAGAGGACAATTGAAAAGAGAAATAACAAGATTGGAGGGGGTGATGTTTGTGGTTCTGGCTCTGATAAGGTGATGAATCAAAATGTAAATCGATTAGGGTCTTGGATTCCCTTTGGAGAAAACCAAGCTCAAACAACTGATCAAGCGGAATATCCAAATTCCCATTTTCAATATAAGCAAGGGATTGCTGGTGATAACTCGAGAGAGAGAGAGAGAGAGAGATTTTGCATATTATTTTTTTTTAAATAAGTGAAAATATCATAAATGTTCACTGTGGTAGTGAATTGACGAAAATGCCCTTCAGTTAACGGACAAAAGTTAACGGTGTTAGCAATAAGGACCAATCGTCAAAAGTTTTGAAAACACAGGGACCATCTATGACGTTTTTAAACCATGGGGACTAAACTTCAGATTTTGAGAAACCACATGGACCATTTATGATGTTTTTTCTTTTAAAAAAATAGCAAAATAGTCATTTCATTTAGGGTATAGGAAAAATCAACAACCAAACCATGCCAAAATAACTCAGGCTGAAATTTTTTGAACGGTACTAATAAAAAACAACAAACCACATGCACATTTTTGAAGTTTTCTCTAAATACAATGACTTGATATATACAAAAATTAGTTGGGCGAAAATGAAAACATATGTTGTAAGTTTATCCTTATACAGTACTACAAGGTTGGAAAACTTGCCCATGTTCTTATTTCTCAGGGTTGATTATTGAAATGAAACTTGATGTTTTAAATAAAGATTAAAAAATGCATATATTTCCTGGGCCGATAAGTTTAGATGAGCTGTATTTTCTACACATGGATTGTTTGTTGTTCTTCCCTAATGTGGTTTACACTTTCCTCTTTCCTCTTTCCTATATATAATCTTGGGACAATTCTCTCATCTTTGCCTTTTGCATGGTCCTACATTGTGGATATACACCAATTGGCGGATAGATATTTGCCTACAAGGCTACAACTCTACAAGTTACAATACAAACCTACAACCAGTGGAAACAGGCCAAAAGTCCAACCACGAGAAGTCTTTTTAAGGGTCAAAACTTCGTCAACTGGAACAACTTGTTTATCTACGTATTATAGTTCATTTTTTTGTAGAACCTTAAAACTCAGTTATTTTTATCTTATGAACTAGGTTATAAACACTTATTTTCCTAGATAAGTGTCAACTAGCTTATAAGCACTTATATTCCTAGTTTTTTTTTTTTTTTTTAATCTACTTTCAGATACATATAGATAAGTTGAAGAAACTTTTTAATAAATATTATATATATATATATATATATATATATATATATATATATATATATATATATATATATATATGTTAGTAT